GAGCGGTGAGCCGAGTGGGCACTCGACACAAAAAAAGGGGAATCTGTCTTTTCACACTGGGAGGAAATCCATCCAGGCTGACTATTGTCCTGGATAATAGGCAGGTGATGGTCAAACATATCATTTTGACACGCTGGGCGTTATGACATGGACAGTTTTACTGCTGCCATAGGAACAAGGAAGAAAGGAAACTCCTTCTCATGTTACTCTGATCAGGGAGAGATAAAGATGCTGCCGTCCTTTTTTTTTATCTTTCTGTTACTTTGCGTCTACCAGTCTTTTTTTGGAGTATGTCTCTCTAATGTTTCCTTCTCTGACACAGGCTTTGTTTCAGAGGGCAACTCTTAAAGCTTAACATTTTGAGAAACACGCTTTTTGAATTGCTCGGTCCAAGTTCAATATTACTCTCACACCTGTACGGTAAATATAAAGCTTGTGATTAGAAATGAGTTGCTGGCATGAGACATGAGTATCAATCCTCTCATTACAGTATCTGCAAGAAAGCACATGATTTGAATTCCCACAAATGATGACAAATTGTTTTGATTAAGTTATGAAAAAAAGACAAATTACAGATTTGCACAAACTGTTGATCTGATAGTTGTTCAATGATCTTTGAAGACGCTGGTTTGGCCACGACCACAACGTTTGTGATAGCTTCCAAGGCAAATATCAACTTATCTTTTGATAATTCTATGTAGACTTAACTGCTTTCCATGTTGGGTTTAGCCTTAATAAACACCTGTCTGACAGCACCTCAAAAACATATCCATTATCCGTGGCAATCAGGCTTCCATATGTTCAAGTGTTTTCAAACCTTATCAGCCATATCATCTCTCTGCTCCTTGTCAATATGTCAGCCATCTGTTTTAAGACAATGCACTCTGCAGGGAGGGGAGCACTGTTTTATGATTCAGAGGTGTGAAGCCCTCTGACACACGTGTGGTGTTTCTCCGCCCGCTGTGTCCACCTGAGGTCCCAGGACAGCAGTTACAGAGGAGGACTGCTCAGCTCTGGTCTGCTGGCTGCCTCTTCTTTAAGGTGTAACAGAAACAATCCCATTAAGTGGTGGATCGCCTTTCACACAGATTACTGAGCATCTGTCACTCCTGCTGGGGGGTGGGGGGAGCAGGGACAAGGTCGCTACCGCTGGCACACGTGTGCTCACACCAGTAACATACGACCATGTTTTACAAACTTATTATGGCAATCTAATAATTTTATAAAGTTAACAATAGTGTTAGAAGTTACTCTGGTGAGCTACAAAAACACAGGTGACGTTGGTTCCACTCCTTTCTAATGACTAGACAGCAATGGCCCTAAAGACATATTCAAGAGCCTAACTATTTTGAAAATAATGTTACAAAGTGGGCTCATACATAAATCCAGTCAGTATCCTGACAAGATTCTAAAATATAAAAAATATAGTTGAATTGTGATGTACTGTATGACATCACAAACATGTGAGTAAAATAGATTAGAAATGAAAAAATAATAATTTGAAAGTCAAAAGAAATTTATTTATTTAGAAAATATTCAACAGCAAGAACGACTACAGTTCACACACACACACACACACACACACACACACACACACACACACACACACACACACACACACACACACACACACACTCTTAGCATTACGGTTACAAACCAGTTAATAACTTGCCGCCTGAATGAGAGGCCTAAACTTGACATGGTCACACCTAATGTGAGGTGTCCTCTTTGGTTCTCTTCTACGATGTCAGCCACTTGTTTGTTCTACCTGCTCTCTTCCTACAAGCCCGTGTCTTTCATCGAGCCTCCGAGCCTCCATACAGCTCCTCTCGGCAGGTTGGTGTTGAGTTCTGGTCTCCGCGGGGCTCGGGGGGGCCCGAGCGATGCCGCTTCACGTTCAGCCCGGGTGAAAGGTGAGAACTCTGAGAACAGAGCGTTCTGGTCTGCTGGAGAAGACCGGCCTGCTCTGTTCTGCATGCTTGAGTCTGGGCAAGGGGTGACACAAGGGGTGTGTTGAGGGGGAGAGAATAGGTGAGAAGGAGAGAGAGGTTAGTGCAACTGGAAACAAATGACAGATATTCAATGCAATAGGCACAAAAACAAAGAATGAAGTGCAATTCTCCAAAGGTACTCTTTGATATAATATGTGCCATGCAACTACAGCGTCTTTGAACTAAATAATAAACACCTTCTATTCAAGGGTAAGGTCAGTAACCAGATATAGACACATACAAGTATTACTGTAGAAGTAGAGAAAATTAAAAGAACATTCAATTAAGTGAATAAACTTTGGACCTTTTTGACACTTTAAATATTAAGTAATTGCATTATTATGGCCCCTTCCCCATATTCTATCTCCATGCTTCCAGTGCCCTCCGAAGAAAACCTGCATTTCTCAAGTTCTGTGGTTGCATCTTGAATAGCTGCTACACACATTTTTCCCACAAACTTATAAGAACTTAAAACAGCCTCTGTGGCGATAAGACACAATTAAAAGTCTTTACCATTCATTTTCCTTACATTATTTATTATTTTCTAACATTAATGCTTTGCTACATGCTCCAGTCTAAATTGTTGATTAAGACAGACAAAAATAAACCAAGTATCAATTAGATTAAAATAAAATACATTTTCTGAGATTTTTGTTTCTTTGAACTAAATATACACAATTCTAAGTTTTGCATTCACATTAACTTCATGACCTGGTTTTTTCCCTCTGTTTTGAAAAAAAAAAATGCACTTTTCAAATCATTGTGATGGTATTTATTTTTCTTCTCTCGGATCCAGTGTGTCTGATAGGATCTAACAGTCACATTTTATCACAGGGACTAAAGTGAATTGACTTCCGCCTCTCAGCATACAGTAGGTCAGGTTTTTGTTGTCACTGCAGAAGGCAGAAGTCAAGTGAACCTTAACTGCGTCCAACAATTGAATGCATTTCAGTTTTGTTGCTTGCAATCCGTCACTTCCTTTCATCTTTATTGCCCCTCTTGTTTAATAAAATTGAAATGGCACATAGTAATACTGTATTACTGTTACTACTAATATAAAGAACAATCCTAAAACCTGTCCGTGCACTTCAGTGAATACTTAAATGCAACTGGACAACTTGCCACTTTCATTTTATAGAAAAAACACAAAAGGCTCATACATAATGAGTGGAGCAATACAGCTAGAGTGGCTGATCTGAGGGGAAGAATACCATAACTTACTGTAAATTACTTCACACTCCCATTGTAAATTCAAATGTAGTGAGACAGGTCAAATTTCACTGATATATCATGCTGCAGGCCCGCTGTTTGCCTGTTATTTGACACTTGTCCTCTCTGTCTGTCATGTAATGATGGAGGATGGAGCAGTTATTTCAGAAGTGGGGGCTGTATAAATAGTAAAGAAATAAAAAAATAAAAAAAGTTGCAGCCATGCTTCATGGCTGTCTTCAAAACAAAACAGATGCGCTTTAATTTATGGCCACTTTCTGTGATTGGAGAAGAAGGCTTAGAATCGATCTGGGGCCTCTCCCTTTCACCTGTTAAGAGCTTTCCTCGTAATTGGCTGCTGCCGCCGCGGCTACTGCCAAAACTGCGGCCTTCTCCGCTGCACAATAGTATGTTAAAGTATGTGTAAACTGGGCCTATTTTTCTTCTGCTCTGGCTATTGATTTTTAAATGAAGTATCAAAGAAAATCAATAGTAATCAACAAATAGAAGGCAACACGCTGTAGTGTCAAATCCTGGGGCACAGCTTAATCCATTTAGATGCCTGTCACAACATGGGGACGAAGTGGAGAGGTAAAAAAAAGTTGAGAACCTGGTTTGAATTAAAAGTGAATTGTGGGATGAGTCATTTGTCTTTAGAGAAGAAAAGAAAGATAAGGGATGTCCATGTTGTCCCACATAGATGTTTTAACCCCCCTTTCCTTTTCCTCTTCCCTCTCTCAGTCTCCTCTGGCCTGTGACAGAGCGCTCATCCGTAGTTTGGGGCGATTCATGTAAAAACATTACAGTATCCCTGAGGCCGGGGATCAGGTTACACCACAGCGAATCCTTTCCAAAGGCGCCTGTCCAAAATGCTTAATGAATCTGCAAGTGAACTGTGAAACAGGTAGTCTACCTGCCACTCACTGTCGACACCTCGCCATCTGTCAACGTCACCCGTCTGCTTCCCACTGCATACCTGAATGTTGAGCCACTGTTGGGCCCATGTCCGCTGGTCGCACAGTGGAAGAAGTCTGTAACCAAACTCTGAATGAGTGATTCATATTTTTTTAAATGGGTGAAGGCAGTGATAGATGGGGGTGAAACAATGGACCTGTATCTATTTGAAACGTCTTTTCATTGATCCTGATTGCTCTCTGTGACAGAATATTTTTCAAGAGTGTGAATGTATCTATTTTTTGGACAGTAACTTTATTTGGGACAGCCTCCTTGCTGTCAATAGATTAAATGACAGTAGTTTATCATTGCCAACACTGGTTGGGATCTCTGGTGATGTATACAAAATATATACCATAATATATACAACATACCTCACTTTGGTGGGGCTTTTACCTATTGTTTCCTGTTGTAACATCTACTGGGACCATCAGACCAGACAAAAATTCAAAAATGTATCTTTTGAAGCTGTGGTAATGGTTAAGGTTTGAAAATTGGCTGAAAAATATCACTCGTCACCGGCTTGGTATTCTGCCTAAAAGGATTAGGGCCACATTAGAAAAAAAAGGGGTTTTTTTTGTTTTGAGAAAAAAGTCAGAATTCTGAGACTAGTCAGAATTCTGACTTTTTTTCTCAGAACAACATTTTTTTTTTTTATGTGGCCCTAATCCTCTTCCGTAGTCTTCAATATCAGGATGCATGTATTTATTATCCTTGCAAGAATGGAAGTAGTCATCACACACAGGGCTGCATGGGACAAATAGTTCCCAGAACAGTGTCCTTGACTTGCTTATATACAAGAGAGGGAGTTACACAGNNNCCTCTTCCGTAGTCTTCAATATCAGGATGCATGTATTTATTATCCTTGCAAGAATGGAAGTAGTCATCACACACAAAGCTGCATGGGACAAATAGTTCCCAGAGTAGAGTCCTTGATATGCTTACAGTGGGGAAAAAAGTATTTAGTCAGCCACCAATTGTGCAAGTTCTCCCACTTAAAAAGATGAGAGGCCTGTAATTTTCATCCTAGGTATACCTCAACTATGAGAGACAAAATGAGAAAAAAAAATCCAGAAAATCACATTGTCTGATTTTTAAAGACTTTATTTGCAAATTATGGTGGAAAATAAGTATTTGGTATTGACCAAATACTTATTTTCCACCATAATTTGCAAATAAAGTCTTTAAAAATCAGACAATGTGATTTTCTGGATTTTTTTTTCTCATTTTGTCTCTCATAGTTNAGTGACAATCATGTATTGCGTTACAATTATATATAAATATGATATTTGGCCTCAAATCATCTGAGGCCTGGCGCCCCCCCTGCGATCTTTGGTGCCCCCCAGGTTGGGAACCACTGCAATAGAAAATATTATCATCATTCTGCATAACAAATAGCAAACAAATGTGCTACTGTTTGTTGCAATTGTATTTTTTGCGGCCTTTGGAACAATGAGCTTTTGGTTTTTTCATTATTACTGGTGTTTCAGAACAATGAGCAGTTCCAACTCTGAACACACAATCATGTACGACAAACACAGGCACTTTTTTCTAGGAACATCTCATTGACAAAAGTGAGAATGCAGAAAATTCGCACCAGAATCTGAAACAACTTTAACTTTATTAAAAAAAAGTGGCACATGGATGAATGGCTTTAGTTACCTGTCTCTACACCTCGAATATCCTTTACACTGTGACCTGATATGTGTTGGGCAACAGACACCATGACAAATATCAGCCCTGCAAGAGTTCCCCCAACACACACACACACACACACACACATGAACACACACACATGAACACACACACATGAACACACACACACACAGAGTTCAGATCTTCATCTTTCTCTCCTGGAAGTGGGTATGGTCAGGTTTCTGATAAGAGCGAGGGGTCCGCCTGTATCTGTGAGATCTGAGAGATGCCGAAGGCTCTTGTGAAAAGGAAGTTAGACTTAAGCTGCTGTAGGGACTTATCTTTACAGTTCCTATACCACCTACTGACAGATCCTCCACTGTGTAAATTCCTCTGCCCCCTGAAATGACTCCGGGCAGACAATGTGACGACACTTTGTGTACTGATGTACTATAACACAGAGAACAGAGGAGATTTTACAAGGTATGTGGCAGACAAAGACAAACACAAGCGTCGCGTGTTGCACACTTTGTTTGAAAACGGGCAATCCTTGAAGTAAACCATTGAAGCATGCTTTATGCCCTCTGTATGTGAGCTGCTTCTGTGATTCAGCACAAGTTCCTACAACTCTGACGTCACTATGTCATTTATTAGATGCATTGCTCAACAACTTTGCTTCGATTTTATTTTACATACTCAGAAACCCATTTTACTTCAAAGCAACCCAATTAAAAAGTGATGTAGTTTGTGTCCAAAAAAGACAAGATTCCCAGAGGATGATTCAATATGTGAGGAACACCAGGGGTGGAAACACGGCCCGATGTTATTGTAGAAATGACGGAGTATAAGTCACTCCCGAGATGGCTTTTGTACTATTGAGAAGAGTTATTTATATCCGAAGAGCAGGGGGCATTTATCATCCCGGGTAGTGGTTCCCCTTCAAAGTTCTCCTTTTTATGACGTGCATTATTTCTCGTGCACACACATAAACAAAGCCAGGGCTGCCGGCACTGAATCAGCAGACTGTGTCACCATGTGGCCCCTGGGTCAGGCCAGCTTTCTTGTGCCGCCAGTGCTTACATTAGCATGTGAAAGGCTAAAGCTGTTCCAAATATTCCCTCTAAACATTTACCCTGACTGAACCTCGCATGGAAAGATTTCCAGAGAGCGGGATGAATAGTAAAAGAAGAGGATGTGAACCTCTGATAACATTTAGTCTTGACAAACCAATTGACAAGATGATGAAATGAGTGTTTTTCAACAAATGTTCTTCAAGAACTGGACTAAGAATTTCATCGACATAACTACACTGTAGCTATGTTCGTATGAGTAAATAAAGAGCCTTGAACCTTGGAAAGAGAAATGTAGTTCTTACTGATAAGAAGTTAAATAAAACCTTAACACTGCATTGCACAGTAGTTTACTCTGTATATTTTCATATTTTTCCCCCCAAATTGCCTAACTACGTTCAAAACTTTTTTGCCAACACAGCCGTCATCAGCGAATTGGAGCCTGTCCGTAATGGTGCAGGCGGGCAGGCACCAGCAGTCTGTGTTTACATTGGAAGTGCCTGGAAATGAATTTCCCCACACTAGTCTCATTTGTCTTATCAATCGGTAAATGTGTTGCCTCGATGATGGACGAACACATTTAAAACATTTGAAAAAGTGTTTCTCACATGCTTAACATTGCCCCCATTCCTCTCTATGCACAGTAGTGACCACAGAGGAGCAGCCAGAGGCGAAGAAACAGCATCCTGTGACGTCCAAGAGGAACCCAAGTTTAGCCGCTGCACATTTTTTAAATTAGCAGAGTGCGTCTGCTGGGGGTGACCACGGTGGAACATATAAATATTCAAAAGGCACATGTCGTATTCCCTGTGTGCTCATTCTGTTAACTTTTCCACACGGCGAGCCGAATCATCTGTCATTCACCCTAATTTAATCATCAGCCACTCTCATTCAATTATCCAATATAATATGCAAATGAGGCGAACAATGGCCAGCTCATGCTAATTATGTACATCAGAATAATTAAATTGGATAGAAGTGGCGGAGGGGGGCTGGACTATCATAAAATAGGGAGCAGATTCTTTAATTAAGCCTGCAACATTTTTATTAGAAACTGTAATCTGCCCGTAAATTGTTGAATGGTGGCCATGCACAGGGGGGACATTACTCTTATTGCAAAGCGCTCCCCGAAGACTCGCTCAGGGAAGCAGCGAGGGACGTGGCTGATATCAAGGGCAAATCTGGATTCCCATTTATTATGGCAATATTCTTGGACTGTGAACAACTTTCCTCAAAAGACTACATCCATAAAGCCTTTCATTTACAAAAGAAACTGACTGAAGGAAGCCAGTGGTTACAATTTTAGTTGTATAACAAAAAACTGGTAATTATATATAACATCTCAAACAGAAACTTAAATCTTGGCCTTTGGTTCAAGTTAGAGCTGTTAGTGGTCAGACATACAGCGCTTTCCCAAACTGAATGGATAATCTGGACTCTATTTACACTAGATTTTCACTCCGCTGTAAGCAGAACTAAATGATGTAAATTGTGTGTGCTGTGCCAAGGCGGCAGAGCGTGCCTGGCAGCCAGTTAGACACAGAGAAACATCAACCCTAATCCTCTGCTCTGCGACTGCATGCATGCAGGCACCGCTGCCTCCCCACAACAGAGCAGCCATGTCCAGCAGCACCACACAAAACAGTCTGCCGTGGGAAGAACAATGGCTCACTCAGAGGACTCAGCAGGATCCTGGACGAGGTGCTGAAGCCACTGAAATATTTACAGAGGCGTGTTTTGTTGCTTTTGTGCCGAGTGATTGAAGGGGGAGACCTCCGAGGCGGGCTCCTTCCCCACTGACAGTCTATCTGGCCTCTTGGTTAAAAAGGAAGTCACAGGGGAAAATAAAACACTGTGAAAGTAACAACACATAAGATAGGCTTCTTTATAACATATTTCCCCCTAATTGTCAATCTGTATATGAGTTTTCTTCACAGAAAAGTGCAGCACTTGTTGAAGATATTGATAAGAAAGCTTGGATAACATAATCCATCACCTTCAGTGCAAACAGACAACAACACCTTTGGTGTATCCTGGCCCGGCCCGACAGTATTTGTTAAACATGTCAGGGTGACAGAACAGCAGTAGGTCAGGAGCACTGTAGATTAAAGCCTGAGTAAGTTTAAGTGAGGCTGTAGACATGTAAACTGACATAGTTGACATCAGTGATAGTCTGTCTGCTATCTCTTCCTTTTCTAATAGATCTACTGAGAGTGTCCACATGGAGAAAGGCCCTTGTTTACATTGGGTATCCTTGTTGCAGTTTGTGATATGCATGTTTATAGCCCGTGTCGGCAACTTCAGGGAAATACAAACAAAGTCATAGTCAATGAGTGCATTTCAATCTCTCCAATGTATTGGAGAGATTTTAATTTTGAATATTTGTAAGAGTTTGGATTGGATCAGTCAAGATTGTTGTCTTGGAAACACAACTGAGGGTAAGATTTGGAAAATGGATCAGAAAGATCTAAATAAGCCAATCTGATATAAATAAAATGTCTAACATAAATTCTGGCTTCTTGTGCTTAAAGAACGACCCAAGGTATTATGTGACGTATAACATTATTCTGCTTTGATTGATAGTTTGTATGAGATGTTGTTTTCCACATGACACATTTAAGTACCAGGTTAAAGATTAATAATATCATCTTAATAATACATTTTATTTCAAAGCGCTTTTCCAGGTGCTCAAAGATGCTTTACAGTGGTTTGATAGAATAAAGAATAGAAATAAAAAATAAATAAATATTAAAACAGCAACACGGCATAATTCACAAATAATCTTCTTGATCTCTGTACTCTATACATTTGGAAAAAATAAACGATTATTTTAAATGTTTAATCGCTGGATATAAAAACCTCTCCAACCATGAACACTGAAAGTCCATTCTCATTGTACACAGTGGCTTTATGTTTCTACATGGGTCATCGGTTGTGATGTCACAACACCACGATTGTACTCTGCATGCATAAACCAGATTAAGGTGAGCAGAGGAAAATGTTCTCTCTTCAGCAGATGAATGTGGAAACTGTTTTTCTAACTCTGCACATACATCATTCTGCAGAGTGGAGGTCAAACTTCAAAATAAAGTTACTAAAAGCTGAGAACATTTTGAGTGAAAGGGCGGGGAAATGATATGGCTGCATAGAACCACAGCAGTATTAATTAGGCTGTTGGAGGAGAAAACTTTTTACCATTTGGCTCTGCGAATGCCATGGGATACTGTATAATAATTGAACT